CACAGTTCATCAAAACACTGAAAATGTTGAAAGGGGAAGTTGGTCTTTCTAGAAGAATGTCAGGTACCAAATGGCAAGGAATGAATCATTATTGGCCCTGATTAGAGGGGCTTGGTACACATGTATGCCCGGAAAGGTCAGTCTCTGCCTTCCTTTTCTTTGGGACTCCAGAGAGTGTTTAGTGACCGCCAGAGCCAGGGGACAATCTTAGCATAGACAGCAAAGCCTTGGAATTTCAGGATGGCCGGGAGGGCATAGGAGAGGCTTGGAGAAGGCTCTCTCTCTCTGTGCATAAGTCATTGCCTTTACTCCCAGCCTTCACACTCGGTGAGGGGGAAAGAGGTGGCACAGTAGGAATGGTTTAAGGTATGCTTGCAGAGAATTGCAATGTGGGAGATGCAAAGCCGGCCCAGGCAAGGACAGGCTAGTGACTGTAAAAACCAGGTTGATAGTCTGGAAACTTCTGGTCCTGACAGCCACCCTTTCCCCCCCTCATGAGACACACCCTTCTGCCAGCCTCTTCCCACTTCACCCTGGATATTACTTTATTCTCTTCTTTTTCCTTTTTAGTTGTGCAATCTTTGGGGTTTCCAACCCTACCACTTTGCCTGTAATACCCATGTTTCAATGCAACATGTCCACTTTTTCTAAACCCATGTTCAGTTTCTCTGTCAGGCTGGCTTAGCTTTGGTTGGTTAGTTTGGTGAATTTGGGGCCACACTGGCAGTGCTCAGGGTTGCTCTTAGGGTCATTCTTGTCGGAGCTCTGGGGACCATTGGGGTCTAGACTCTAGCTCTTGCATGGAAAGTGTGTCCTCTAGCCTGCTGAGCTAGCTCTCTGACCCAGGCTCGGCTTTGCTTTGTTTTGTTGTTATTTGGGGGTTGGGTTTTTTTGGGGGGAGGGCCACACATGGCAATGCTCAGGCTTTACTCCTGGTTCTTTGCTCAGGGATTACTTTTGATGGGGCTCAGGGGACCATATGTGATGCTGGGGATCAAAGCTGAATTAGTAGTCAACAGAGCAAAGACTTAACCCCTGTACTGTGTCTTCAGCCTTCAGGCTCAGCTTCGAGTGAGAGTCAATGTGGCCCATTCCCTCTCTGATGTCAAACATACATCGTATGTTTAATGTAACAAGCACTATTTAGATTATTACATATTCAAACCTTTTTAACCTCCCTTAGGCATCGTGGGGTCACTCTCAGTCTGCGTCTAGTTCAGGGGTGACCTGGGATACCCCTCCTGTCTCTCTGAAGAGACTGGTTTGTTCCTATGTCCCAGGTGTCCTTTTGTGCTCTTTCCTCCTGGGTCTCTCTGCCCCATTCCTGTCCCACACAGTACTTCACCCTCTCTGGCCACCACCCACTCTGCAAACCTCCCCTCTGCTTCCTCCTTCACCCACTCAGGCCTTGGGGCAGGACTGCAGGGACCAGGAGTCTCCTCATCACAAATCTCCCGCTGTGATGAGGCCAGAGAGATAGCACAGGAGGGAAGGTGCTTGCCTAGCAGGAAGCTGCAGCCACAGCCCTGATTTGAATGCTTGTTCTGGACCAGTCACTCCTGAGCACAGAGCCAGGAATAGCCCCTGAGAGCCACGGGGTGTGGCCCAATCCCCCTCCTCCTCCATGTTGTGGGAATACACCCTCAGAGGTGGGAGCACTCCCTTAGGTGCAGGAACACCCCCTCAGGTGGGTGAACTTAACTCCAGCTGTTGGAGCATACCTCCCAGATGTGGGAGCACACCCTGAGATGTGGAAACACACCTCCAGAGGCTGGAACACTGATTCAGGAGCACTCCCTCAGTGGTGGGAGCACACATCCCAATGCCTGCATATGGGGGTGGGGGGAACCTTCTGGAGACATGCCCCTGTTATTCACATCCTAATTGGCGAGCCTTAGCAGGCAGATGGTAGGATCTAGGACTTCTTTGTCTGTGGTCTTGGGCTCCGGAAAAGGGTCCCCTCTAGGACTGGTCCTGCTAGTGAGCCTGGGGGTCTGATCTTTGCATTCAGGGCTGCCTGCCTGTATGAGTGTGGCGGAAAAGATGTCCTGCAAAGTTCTCTGTGCTGTCCCCCCTCACTTTCCCCGCCTCTGGGGTGTCAAACATTACAATACACGGGGAAGAGGTGGGTTCCAAGTGGGAAAACCCTCTAATCTCTCGAGCTTGCCTGAAAAGACCCCTCTTCTCTGCTTGCAGCCACAGCCCCCCAGATTGGCCAGCCCTGGAGGTGGCCACTCCAGACAGGTGGCCTGGGCTTGGACTGTCCCTGGGAAGAGGGGTCAGGGTCAGAGGCACAAAGCACATCAAGCTTCCTGCACTTCTAGAGTCTCAGACTGGTCTCGGGGAGCTTTGGATCTTGTTTTCCCTTGATTCGTGCCAAGATCGGGCTCTTTGGAACTCATTCTGTGGCAGGAGGCCTCCCTTTGATGACCACGTCAAATGAGATGGACACTGGCCAGGTTGTTATAGGAACTGGGAGAATCCTTGGAGTGGGAAAGTGCTGAGAACACGGGTCCATTCACCATTCAGCTGGAAAGTGGAGCAGTCATTGTCAGCCACCGAGGCTTTGGGACAGAAGAAGTGGTCGGTGGCACCCCTTGGCGGCTTGGGGGGTGTTGGGAGGGCAGAGCCAGGGTCAGCCTAAACTCTGAATTCTCAGACTAAACTGCTCGCCTACTCTCTTGGGTGACCTTCAGCAAATTAAAACAGCCCACCAACAACATGATCTCCTTTTGCTGAGAATTAATGGACTATCTAGACGGAAAATCCCTCTCTGCGGCCCTTGTTTCAGGGTCTGTTTCCAGATGATGTTACCAGTCCTAGAGGGGACCCATTTCTGGAGCCCAAGACCACAGATAGGGAAGCTCTAGATTCTATCATCTGCCTGCCTATAATGGGCCACACCGGGAGGATGCTCAAGGCTTCCTCCTGGCTCTGCACTCAGGGATCACTCAGGTGTGGCTCAGGGAGACCATATGGGTTGCCGGGGCTTGAACCTGAGTCAGCCATTTGCAAGGCAAGTGCCCTGCCTACTACTCTCTCTCTCTCTCTCTCTCTCTCTCTCTCTCTCTCTCTCTCCAGCCTTTAAAATGATTTTTTGTGTCTTTATGTTTTCTTTTTCCTTTTTTTCTTTCTCTTTCTATCTATCTATCTTTCTTTCTTTCTTTCTTTCTTTCCTTCTTTTTTTCTCCTTCCTTTTCTTTTCTTTCCTTTTCTTTGTTCTTTCCTGACACTTTTTACAAACAGCATGTATGGATTCGGGCCAGGCTTGGGATCGTCTCACCCAAACACAAAGTGATTCCCATTTTGGAAATGGTTTCTGGGAAGGGAGTCTGGAATTTGGGAACAGATTTAGTCACATGCTTGAAAGAGGACGGGTGGAGCTTGCCACAAGTCCAGAAATCAGGCTGCTCCCAAGTAAGAAAGATTTTTGCCCCTGATGACCAGTGGCCCCCGTGCCGACCACAGCTTCTCCCCACGTTTTCTGTCCTATGAGACACCCTCTCGCACTTGCACCCTGCAGCCCTGTCTGCATGGTGCTGCTGTCAATGGCCATTGGTATACAAATCTTTTGGTAAACAAGAGCTACTCTGTCACTCTTGCTATCTCTTTAACTTTTGGGAGTTCATAGGGCAGCTTCTAAACTGTGCTCAGGGACTCCAGGGGCCATTCCCAGTGATATGGTAGGGTCTCAATAATTATCATAATTTAGAGTTATTCCTGAGAGTGGAGCCAGGAGTAAGCACTGAGCATCACCGGATGTGACTCCAACCTCCCCCCCAAAAAAAAATACATATTTCAAAATATCTCTACACTGGGAGTACTCAGCCAGTTCTTTCATACATTTATTATGGTAGCTGAGGACTCAACTTTTTTTTTTCTTTTCTTTTTGGGTCACACCCAGTGATGCACAGGTGTTACTCCTGGCTCACGCACTCAGGAATTACTCCTGGCAGTGCTCAGGGGACCATATGGGATGCTGGGAATCGAACCCGGGTCAGGCGGCGTGCAAGGCAAACGCCCTACCCACTGTGCTATCACTCCAGCCCCATCAACTCTTTTATTTTCTACTGCCATAAACACACTCTTCTCATGGCTATGTGGGTCCAATGTTTCAAAATCTGGACCCTTCACTGTGATATCAGTAGGGCCTATTTGTGTTGGGGGCCACCAGGGTTCTAGCTGACAGTGCTGGGGGAACCTGGCTGTTGAAGATCAGCATGGGACCCCCAGAGGCCTGGAGATCAATATGGGACCCCCACATGCCAGGCCTGTGTCCAGCCCTCTCATCCATCTCCATGAGTCTTAACTTTTAAGATTGAAAAAAAAAGTCGCATGTTATATTCTTGTTTTCTCCTCTTTAAATTGGTGTCTGCACTCATATTTCCTTTAATATGTAACTCTCTGCTAGACTTTATCAGAGGTCTAAATGAAATTATCTAAGTGGTATGTAAATATATTCTCTTTATAAACACTTTCAATATAACAAATTGAAACTAAATCTCCTTGCCATCTCTTGCTATGTCTAGGCCATTTCCTCCTGCCTGTAGATGTCCACCTTGTCACCAGCTTGATGGGTCTTCCTGTGGAGCTTTTTGGGAAACATTTACCAGCATAATATTCTCAGAGAAAACATTGTTTCCTATGAGTGTGTGGGTGTGTTTTGATTGTTTGATACAATGATTCTGCAATTCGCTTTCTCATTCAAAAAATATGTTAGCAATGTGGCTGCACCGAATCACGTGTAGATTATTCCTTATATACCCCTACTGAACACTCAGGTGTCCGTCTCCTTGTCATTTAACCCCTTTCCCATGCAAGGTCACTTAGGTGTACCCTGTATTGTTTTGCATATATCTATCCCATGCACTAGAGAATGGAGCTACTTGTACACTCTATGTATTGTCAGCTGTGATGGATACAGATGCAAGCCCGCAAGAGACAGAGTTGCAGGAAGCCTGAATCCCAACACCTCAATGTCATGCTTCTTTCTCCTGCAGAGACGTCTCAGAGAGGCTGTGCAGCTGCTGGAGGACTACAAGCATGGGACCCTACGCCCAGGGGTCACCAACGAACAGGTAATGACTGCAGGTGGCAGAGGAAGAGACATGCAGCTTTCCTTGTAGCCAGAACCACCTCTCTTCCTGTCAGAATCTTGTTATGCAGCAGCATTCCCTGTGGAGTTGTACGTATTAGAGGGGGTGTGTTGGAGGAGGTGTGTGGTCTCTGCAGTTCTCGGCATGTGGTGTAAAGCGTGGGGATGGCTGTGGTCTCCCGGAGGTAACATGTGCGTCCCTTTGCAATGCCACATTCTTATCACAATAGAAGTTTGAAATCAGCCATGATGGGAGTATTTACACTATGAAAATGGGCAGATCCTACAGATCAGAGCTTACTTCTCCTTCTGCATGACCAAGGGTCAATTCTTAAATATCTGCCAGTGTACTGATACCTTCCAGTTCAGTTAGGGGGCTGGAGCAATTGTACAACAGACAGTGCACTTACCTTTCATGCTGCTGAGCCAGGTTTGATCTCTGACACCCCATTTAGTTACCCAAGTCCCATCATTAGTGATCCCTGAGAGTAGAGCCAGGAGTAAGCACTGAGCACAGCCAGGTATGACCCCCAAAACACAAACCAGAACAAAGCAAAACAACAGTTCTTGTTGAAGATGGGAAAGACGAGGGATGGCACAGATCTGTCCAGGACACTAGACTTTCATTTGGGATTTCACATAGAGACTTGAACTAGAAGCTCATTGAAATAGTGATGATTGGGGGCTGGAGCAATAGCACAGCGGATAGGGCATTTGCCTTGCACGTGACCAACTGGGGTTTAATTCCCAGCATCCCGTATGGTCCCCTGAGTACCGCCAGAAATAATTCCTGAGTGCAGAGCCAGGAGTAACTCCTGTGCATCACCGTGTGTGAACCAAAAAGCAAAAAAAGAAAGAAAGAAAGAAAGAAAGAAAGAAAGAAAGAAAGAAAGAAAGAAATAGTGATGATTGCATTTAGTTTGGTGGAGGGGTTGGGGGTCTTGTGTAGACAGCTTTAATAATTTTAGATATTGATGCTTAATGTGCCAACAGTTTTTTTCCCCTAAGTTGAATTGCCATGAATTACAAAGTTAGAAGATATTTATGATCGAGTTTCCCTTCCCCAATGTCCACTACCCTCCTCACAGTTATCTTTCATGTTTAGAAATCATACTGAATTTTCAAAAACATGAATTTTCTATTTTTCAATCTACTATCTGTGTATAACTCAAAAAGTACTAAAACTTTCTTCGTGGAAAATTAATTGGTGTCCCTTCTTTCCTAGTTCCTATCTGCCAGTGTACTGATACTGAGGAGAAATAGTTTTCACCATTTCTTCAGATGGAAATTCATATTTCAGGGCTGGGGCGATGGTACAGCAGGTAGAACACTTGTCTTGCATGTGACCAACCAGGGTCAGCCTGAACATCCCCGGGTGTGACCCCACCCCCAAATTTTACATTTCAAAATGTCTGTACACTGCTGTTTTTCAGCTAGCGATCTTATAGCATTTATTATGGTAACTGAGAACTCAACTCTTTTTTTTGTCTGCCACCATCAACATACTCTTCACCCCTTCCATCACTGTCGCACTGTCACCCCGTTGTTCATTGATTTGCTTGAGAGAGCACCAGTAACGCCTCCATTGTGAGACTTGTTTCTGTTTTTGGCATATTGAATATGCCACAGGGAGCTTGCCAGGCTCTGCCATGCGGGCGGGATACTCTCGGTAGCTTGCTGGGCTCTCCGAGAGGGGCGGAGGAATCGAACCTGAGTCGGCCGCGTGCAAGGCAAACGTCCTACCTGCTTTGCTATTACTCCAGCCCGCTGCCATCATTACCCTCCCAAAATTATAACCGTGATTTGGGTTTATACAAGTTCAAAATCACACTATTACATTTTCTGTTGTACTTGGGCTACACCCAGTGGTGTTTAGGACTTCCTCCTGGATCTTGGCAGAGCTCAGGGGACCATGGAGGTGCTGGGGGTTGAACCCAGGATGACTTCATGCAAGGCAAGCATCTTGCTCACTATACTGCAGCTCCAGCCCCTGCACTATTACCATTTTACAAATAGAATTTACTGTAAAGTTCAGTTGTTGTAAAATGATTATGTTTCTTCTCTTTTTCAACTTTATTTTTTTTTTGGAGTTAATATTTGCCTTTTTTCCCCTCTCGTTGGAATAGATGTGTGTGTGTGTGTGTGTGTGTGTGTGTGTGTGTGTGTGTGTGTGTGTCTCTCTAATTCATGCTATCCCTTCTAACAGCCTTTGGCATTCTTAGCATCCCTTTGCTGTCTGAAGGCTCAGTCTTTCAGCTCTGAATTATTTTTCCCAGAAGAGTTCTCTTCTGAAGTTCCTCTCCTCATGCGTCAGAAGTTCCTCTTGATGTGTGCCTTCATTTCAGTGAAACACTTATAATAACTTCCTGGAAAAAAAGTAATCAGCAAGAAAAATTTAAATCTGTTCATATTTGAAAAATTGTGTTTCTGCACTGTTTTAATAATTTGGCTGAGGAGAAAATTCTGGGTTGACAGTTCCCCTTGAATTTTAGATATGCTGCTCTAATTGACCTCTGGCTTCCAGTATAGCTATTGAAAATCTGATGTGATTTCATTTCCAGTTCTTGGCAATTGGAAGTTTATTTCTTTCTGGGAGTGTTTAAGATATTGTCTATACAATTTATGTATGAGAATATTTCAATGCTATCTCCTGTAAAATTCATGAGTTCCTTTGGTAATCTTTTTCAATTAGAACACTCCACTCAGTTCTGGTAAATTTTCTTAGATTGAAAAAAAAGTGCTTTTCTCTCATTTTGGAACTCCTATTAGTCAAATATTTGACATCTTTGATTGACACTCAGATATCTTTTTTTCCCTTTTGTTGCATCACTTTCTCCTTCTGTTTAGTTTTACAGAAAGTTTGAGTTTATCTTCAACACTTTAGCTAGTTTAATTTAATTTTCAAGGGTTCTTTCTTTTTTATTCCTCCCTCCTTCCCCCCTTTCCTTCCCTGCTTTTCTCCCTCCCTCCCTCCCTCCCTCCCTCCCTCCCTCCCTCCCTCCCTCCCTCCCTCCCAGGGACACAGGGGAGCCCGTGTCTCCTGCTGCTGTGTGCACAGATGTTGAACACTGCCCTGGGTTTAGTGGGCAAGTAGTTTTTTTCTTCCTTTGTTCCCAGTCCTGCCCAGTCCTGAGCTCTGCTGGTATCCTTATACATATGCTCTCTGCAGGGGGCTGTCCTTTATGTTGTATTTGGTTGTATTTGTACCAAATCTCTACTCATTCTATACCCCCAAACCAGGTTGCTTTCCCTTCTTGGACCTGGTCTCCTTTTCGCTTCTGCCTGTGCCTCTGCGGCTGCTTGTGACTTGGGGGGAGGGGGGGGGGGAGAGGTGCAGAGCCCATGCTGGGTCTCTTTCGGCTGATACAGCACACCAGGCATGTGTGGGTATCCTGAGGGCCGGTGGCTTAGCCGTCAGTCCTGCCTGATCCAGCTACACTTTCATGTGAATTTATGGTGTGCTTATGGACTGGTTTGGCTGTTTGCAGCAAGGGGGAGAGAGCAAGGACAGAGCCGGGTGAGTGTCTGACCTTATGGACCCTGGGAATGTAGGTGAGTGATGTGACCCCAGGAGAATGGGAAGCAGCAGCCGTGTGAGAGACCTGCACTGAGACTGAGGGGGCAGAAGGCCGGGTGGAAGCAGTGCTCTCTGGGGGAAGTGACAGGTGACTGTGCTTGAGGGGAAGGGGCCCCTGAGCAGAGACGCAGCATCCCAGGTCCTTAGCATCCCAGATCCATGCTCTTGGGCTGACCTTGGAGTAAGCCAATTTGGAACTAGTCCCAAATTTGGCATAGCCAATTGGCATAGTCCCTCTGGATGTCTGCTGATCCCAACATCACCTCCTTATCCCCTTGACTTTTGGGAGGCCCTCGGTGCCCCAGCCAGGCCAAGAAGCCCCTCTAGACCCAAGGAGTTCTCATGAGCTGGGCAACTCTGAACCTTTCTTGTGTTGTGACCACCTCTGTACCATCCTCCCGTCTTGGACCAGGGTGGGATGCTTGGGACTCCTTGAGCCTCCAGAGATTGAGCGTGAGGCCACGTGCCTCCCTGCTGCTCCCCTGCCCACCTGTTTTCTGGGCCTCCAATGCTTTGCTGCCTGAAAGCCTCCCTGTGGCTTAGGGAGCTGAGAGGGCAGAGGTGGGGGGCCCTAGCGCTCAGTGGTATCCAGCCTGGGGGCTGACTGGGGAGCACAGTACTCCAAGGCTGTGCCTGCACTTGGACCCCCCCCCAGGAAACAGATCCTCCCTTGGTTTCCCTTCCTGCGCCCTCCTGTGCTCCCCCATGCATGCCCCCTCCATGACCCTCAGCCTCTACACATGCACACACACACACACACACACACACGCGTGCGCGCACGCACACACTGCAGGTGGTGATGACAGACCAGGTGCTGGGATGCCTCAGTGACCCCGAATCCAGGACAGCCCCTGCCCCTGGCCAGGGCGGCCAGCTGCAGAGCCCTGGGGGTCCTGTGCAGTGTGGACAGCAGTTGAGTTGCACAGGGGCTCTGGGTCTTTTCATTGCCTGTTGCACAAATGGAGGTTGATGCCTGTGGCTGTATCCCGTTTCCGGTCGCCGGTCCCAGCAGCAGCCTGTGAGCCTGTTTGTTATCCCTCCCACCCTCGGAGACCACATTGCTCAAAGGGTTCCTGCAAGGTCACTAGTTTGCTCATACCCGAGGGCTGTGTCCTGGTCTGCAGGTTCCTGGGTGCCTGACCAGTAGAGACAGGTGACCCAGTCAGCCCTGAGGGTAAGAGAGAAACCAGTACAATTTCCCCCTGGGGCACGGCAGCTAGAAAGGATGTGCTTGGAATCTAGTGTGCCCGCAGGAGTGTGGCCAGCATCTGAGCAGCAAAGCCTTGAGGATAGCAAACCAGAGGCCCAGGAGGCTGAAGACATCTCTGGACGTGGCCTGTTGTGGATGTGGTCTGCTGGGGATGTGGCCTGTTGTGGACGTGACCTGCTGCATGTGCCTTGCTCAG